CTGAAACCAGTAACATCACATGGGTTGGTTAACGCAGGAAAGGGAGGTAAAGTCAGTCCTGGGCTCAGAAGCCTCTCTGTTGTGCAAGAGCTAAGAGACTACTGTAGCTTGAACCCACTTTTGAAAAGCTTGTATTTAGAAGATTAGCTATTTGGCTTAAGCAATGACTGTCATCATATGGCGCAAAACTAACATAAGAGAAATTGTGTCAAGAGTTTTACAGCAAGATCTAGCTTCCTAAAATCCAAAAGACATAACAAAAATAAATTTAAATGCTGTCTTGGTAATTTCTGGAAGTTAGATTAATTCATTCTCCCAAATTTGCAGGTGACCATATGCATTTCTACTAAAATTGGCTTTTCAGCAATTATTGTAATGATTCTCCCAGATGTTTTCACAGTGGGACTCTGCAGAAGCATTTTTCTTTTTTTTGATAGTAAACACCATTTTTCAATCTAAGAGCAAAACCCTAATGCAAGTGTCTCTCCAATACATTTCCAGCAATTCTAACTTACCAAGCATTTTATCTCAGCCATCATCAGTAGTTGTCCAGGCTATATATCTTTAAATTAATAATTATCCAAAGACAACGAAGTAGTTTTCACACACCTTGAAATATTACATACTCATGTTATAATTAATACATTTCCCCCCCTCCCCGATTTTCCTTGTTTATCCGAGCCATTTGTAACTGAATATATACCGTCTTCTTTCCTGTCCAAGGAAAAAGCAAGTTCTTTTGATAAGCCATATTCTCTGAGTTGATGCCCACAGTTTTACTGTCACGTTGATGTCAGCACTGCTTAACAGGAATTCCTGGTTAAGAAAATAAAATAAATCTGAATTTCAGCAAAGGTTCTTTATTATCACAGGTCATTTGCCTCCTCACAGAGAGCCTCATTATAATTATGGCACACTAATTGCTGTACAGCAGCATCAGTCTGTGTCTTGAAGCAATGTGACACAGTGGCATTCACAAAGGTTGCAAGGTACTTTCGACAACCTGGATCAGTGTGAAGAGTCATGGGGGAGAAAAGATTTTCTTGATCAAATTTCTAATCTGCTCAGTAAAACTTAGGCATGTAAAACATACCAAAAAAAAAAAAAATAGAGGGAGAGTATTCACTCACACTTCAGTTCCATGAGGAATGAAGGTGATGTCACTAGACTGGCTCATCATTTGACTACAAGGAGAAGACAACCCTCACCGTTCACAAAGCAGGTTGAGGAGCTGCTGCCAGTCCAGTCCTCCTGCAGAAGACAGGGATGAAAAGCCCCTGGGCCAGCAGGGGAAATGCTTCTCCAGCCCACGCTTTGGCATCCAGCCTTCTTGCTGATAGAAGTCCATCGTGCACAAAGCGGAGGGTAAAGAAGAACACGGCGTGACAACTCCCTGTTCTCATACTGACCGCTGTGGAAAAACACCGCAAAAGCCAGAAAAATCTCAAACTCCTCCTTCACCCTACACAGAGCTGAGCTTCCCATCGGACAGGCCTCACATATCATATGCAAGAACCCGCTCACCTCCATGGGCACAGCAGCCTCTGGGCACCTCCTAAATACCCTGGCACCGAACGCCACCGCCCCGTAACGCTGAGTCCGGGTACACCCCACTCCAGCCTGAAGTGCCGCATGAACACAGTCACCGGGTGTCTGCACCACCCTCCCACCCAGTTACAATTCAGTTCTAACAACCCATTGTCTTGAAGTTTCTGTTAATTTCAATAAAAACAAACAGAAAAGCTAACTTTAAAACCCCCAGTCTTAGGTTAACAAAAATGCTTTGAAAACTCTTGACAAACTATTTGTGCTGTAGCTTCAGGTTGCGCATACAGCTAATAAAAATAAACATTGGGGGATTGCTAACTAACCAGGCAGTATTAACAGAAGTGTTTAAATACTCTTTTTTTTAATATATATAATAATAGAAAATACTTTTATTGTGCTATGAGCTTTGGATCAAGGCCCCCCAAAATTTTAAAAAGTAGAGACAACCAAGTATCAGTAGAGATACCAGCTGCAGCAACCAGTAGAGTAAGTCAGTATTATGTTTTGAGGCAGTGAGAAAAAGCTAAATGCGTAACAAAAAAAATGGGAATTTATGGCTTTTTCTTCTTTTAGCCTTCTGTTCCTAAATTAGGCATGCAAACCAGTTCCAGAACACATTATTAAAAACCCTTGCAAATCTCCCACTTGTCTAGAGCAGCAAACAGTCCCGCCATCACAACTGAAATGGAAGTAAAAAAGACTTTACACAGAATCTATTAGAAGGAAGTTACTGAATATTGATACTTGAATATATTCCATAGCTCTTCATTCCAGGTAACTCTTGTATAAAAATCAACTCCCAAGGCATCTCTGTCCTGCAGCTACTCTCCTCTTCAAAGCACCTGCACTTCTACTCCATTTATTTGCATCCTTCTTTTCTATCTCTCTAAACACTCAGCCCAGCACCTGTGTCCACGGAACTTCTCTGTTTCTTTAAGATACTGAAAATCAAAGTAATTTGATGAAACATGTTCCTAATTCAAGCTGTCAAAATTTGATGACTATGCTAATTATTTTTTCACATTTAGTCTGAATAAAACTCTGATTATACTTTTTTAAAAAACCTAAACCTACAGAGCAGTTTTGTCATCTTGCTAACAGGCTTTTAACCCTTTAATGTTCTTAAGTGATTAAAATTTGAATTGCCATTACAGCTATAGCTTTTATAACGTTTACTAAAAAGTTACAATAAGGTATACAGTATACCTTTTAAAAGTTAACAAACTTTAACATGAAGCAATTATGCTATTTGCTCACATATTATTTGGACAATTGGGCTCTGTGTTTGCTTTCCATTTTGGTTCAGAAATTCAGTTCAGTTTCACTGTCTGTGACCTAGTTTACATACTACACTTACATCCAAAATCATCTCCTTGCTCGGCTTTAGTTTTGCACCAGTTCAAATAGACTTTGGTCAATCTCTTTGCCAGAGAGGGATCTGTCGAGCCGCGTGACGAGTTCCTCAGCCTGTAGGTTGGATCCAGCGCACCCCGAGCCTCTCTCCTGGCTGAGGGCAGGGTTAGGGAATGGACCATCTGCTGGAGCAGGGCGGCACAACACGGTAACCAAAAGAGCTATTTCAGGCAAGATATACCCGCTCACAGGCAAACCACACGGTAACCAAAAGAGCTATTTCAGGCAAGATATACCAGCTCATAAGCCAACAACCTCCTTGGATTTCCCTTGAAGGGTACAGAAAACCCTCCCCGTAAGTGAAAACGGGAGCTGGAGACAAGGCTGATGGAACTGCCTGTATCTGTCCTGAAAAATCCCCATAGGCTTGAGTGATCTGAAATGCTAAACTCTTCACAAAAGCACAAAAGGCAAAATAAAACCTTTCTGAGCTAAATTCTTTACGAATCTCTAGTCATCACGTATTCCCAAGAACCAAATCCAAATTGATGACAAAAATTAGCAAAATTAACATATTTTAATTTTATAATTAACAAATGTTAATTTATACAAACAATAGATTTTATTTCCTCTCCAATTAAATATATTTGTTATCCTTAATAACATTCAGGTCAAATTAATAACAGTTGAGTCACAAAACAAAAAAAAAACAACAGAAAGCAACCTTCTGGTGATTTTTTTTTTTGCACATGCGAATCAAATGTGCTGATCAAGAAGCAACCGGGTTGCACTTTATTTTAAATACTCATAACATTACATCAGTGTATAATCACAGCAGTTATAAAAATAGAAAAAGTATACATTAAATGTCTGTGTATTGGATTTAAAACTTTTATCACATGAAAAACTATATTCTGTATATTCTAAATCTATTAGTGTATAGGACCGAAAGATAAAAATATATACACAGAACATATTAGCAGCTCCACAAAATACTAAAGTCCCATAATTCAGTAGAGTGATCATAAACCAGCTGTACTTAAATGCAACGCTATGATACAAACGCTGTGATTGGAAAATTGAGGATCAATCCAGTAAGAAAGAGGTTATTAAAAGACTTTTAAGGTGAGTCTCACTAGAAGAGATATTAACTTTTTAATTTAAATGCTGCAAACTGACAGGAACAAAAATGAAAGATTTCTAACATTACCGGTGAATTAAAAAAAAAAAAAAAAGCATTTTCATGGAGAAGTTTAATTGTCTCTCATGAAAAAACAGAAACAGAAGCACTGCAAAGTATCAGCAGATAATTGAGTAAGGATAATGCTAAATGTTGAAAAAAACCCAAAAAATCAAACAATGAAAACCATTTTGCATAGGGGGCAATTTTAAAATGAGATCGCTCCGTTTATGAAGAGGATAAGTTATGTAAAGTCTCCTTCATTTAAGTTCTCTTTTAAAGAACAAAATTAATGTATATTTTATATACAGAGGTATTTTTGTGAAAAATGGAAGGCTAAAACCAGTTTACTGAAGTCAATTTATACAACTAAAGCAGAAAAAGAATAAATGGGGAGACAGGAATTATATATCAAAACAGACAAACCTACAAAATAGCAGTAGCAAACATAAGGTGAAATATGTCAGCAGCAGGTTTACGTGTGTTCTCTGAATTATGTCACAACCAAAATTACAGAAATAAGGTATATATTACAGAAATTACCAAAATTACAGAAATAAGGTATATAATAATTCAATCTTACATAACATTTTTGAGAAGCTAAAAGCTCAGATATACTATATGTATACAATAATTTTTTTACTTCACTTATTTGCATATTTTATATTGGGTCAGACTCTTTATACAACTGTATTTGCATAAACTTCAGTCATAGAGAGTCCTACCGAAGTGAAGCAAAGGAATGATCTATAAATAAAGGTTTGCATTACTTGGCCTTTCCCACATCAGGTCTATGAATTGCAGTTACAGAATATATATATTTGCCTTTTAATATTGGTTTACATATGAAAAATTCACTTCAGGAAAATAATCTTTAAGATGTTAAAATGTATGTAGAGTTTGACAGCAGAAATATAAATAAAGGTTTGCATTACTTGGCCTTTCCCACATCAGGTCTATGAATTGCAGTTACAGAATATATATATTTGCCTTTTAATACTGGTTTTTACATATGAAAAATTCACTTCAGGAAAATAATTTTTAAGATGTTAAAACGTATGGAGAGTTTGACAGCAGAAGAATCTAAATACCGCCACATGATTACATCTTGGAATTAACTGCATTTTTTACAGTACATGACATGTATTTAAAGCAATAAAGTAGGGAACATTTACATTGCTGTGTATTTCACTAATACATGAAAACTTCCTGTCTTTTCATAATATTTGCACGACACAGAGGGCATTCATGAAGTGCTTCAGCGCATCCCTTACAGGCAACGAGGTGACCACAGGGAATGAGGACGACTGATATGTCTTGAGCCATACAGATTTTACAAAGTTTTTCCTCCTGCAAGCGTCTTAACTTCTCTTCAGTACTGAGATCTAAGGAAAACAAACATAAAAAGAAGTCAATACGTAGTACCACTGAATCTTTTTTTTTTTCCTTTACACACAAGGACAAGGTTTTCTTCGTATGATTTAAAGGTCACACCTTTAAAAGGAAAAAAAAAAATTACAAGAGATGGAAACCAAACTGCAGCATGGAACCCTTTTTTCCTGCCCGCCTCTCTCTCCTCATCTCATTACATCTCCCAGGCCAATGCAAGCAGGGAAGTCAGCTCTCTGCATTTGCAAGACCTTGAAATATCTACAGAATTTAGGGTATGCCTATTTCAATCAGGACCCATTCTTCTCATAGGCAACTTTCCCAAAACTTGTACAGAAGGTGAAAGAAAGCCTTGTTGATACCGGTTAAGTAATTTGGATTTTAGTTTTTTTCTCTACTAAAAGAGTTTCCCCAATGAAAAGAGTGAGGATGTGATTTCCTTCCCTGCCCCTGTTTTTAAAATGCCCATACTTCAAAAGCTTAAAAATTTGTAGTACAGAAAGAACCATTTTTGCATTGTACACGAGCTCTTTATCATTCCAGTATGCCTCATTTGAAAATGTAAACTTCAAAAGCCATCCCCTGGCACCTAGGGAAAGCTCTGCACAGCCAACCACAAAAATAACATCCATCTTCATTGCAAATTCTTTTTTCCCCTCATAACGTCCATTAAAATTCTTATTAAAAAGAGTGGGCTGGTAAGATCTCTGTCTATGAAGCCAACCAGATGGTCTTTTCCCTCTCTGTGAATTCACCCATACGCTTGTCTGTAACTACAAGTCTTTTGAGTTAGAAATCTTAGGTTTGGTCTATTTGCAGAGTGTACAATGGCTTTCTGAGCATAACTGGCACATCCCAGCATAGCTGGAACACAAATAATTGAAAAGAAACATCTAGAAGTACACTTTTTCTTATTGGGCAAGAGACACCACATCTATAGTCCTTGCTTTTATTTTTAAATGTCCTTGTCACAATTTTGGCTTTTTAGTTATCCAGAAGCATGCTAAACTATTATTTCAATATTACACACTTTTGAGGTATTAATACTACTCATGTTATAGATGATATTCAGAAATATTGCTACACTCAAATATTTTAAAACCCTCGTTCAGCTTTTTTATTTAATGTCCAAAGCTAAATCTCTTGAATTTGAAGTTACAATACTGTAACTTGTATTTTAAGTAAGACTTGGATCAGAGGGTAGAATAAACAGACAACAATAAGATATGTTTCACAGACTAAAGAGCTGATATGAAAATACACACAGACGTTTTGTAATTGAATTAGCTCATCTTGCTCAACTGGGATTTCATTTGGTTCTTCTTCCCTTGTATTTTCTTTCTGAGCACTTAAGTCTGCTACCAGATCCTCAACAGATGTGTGACTTTATCCACACATCTGCAATCTCTTTTCCATGGTGTTCCTAATCTCAGACAAACTGAAACCCATGTCTATGGCACTTTGTACCAAAGGATTCTGTAAGAAATCATCTAAAACAAGAAATTAAAAAACAAAACAAAACAACAAATGACAATTTAACAAGGATGAATCTGATGATCGGACAGTATTCACTATAGTACTCTAAGGCACTTTTTCAAATATCTAGCCAAAGGAACTATATTTCCAATTTGAGAATTTTGCTAGTTGTAAAAAACTGCTTTATCAAAACACCCAAAACTGCAGATTTGAGAATTCTTCCATCCTAGCTTTCCCAGTCTTCCTTCATCTATTTATAATACACAAATCCTCCTAGATTTGCTATTCTAATCAACTACTTCAACTTCTTAAATTGTAACTTCAACTTCTTAAAATGTAATTTCCACTCTCATAAACAAGCAGTGTGTGAGAGATTTCTAAAACAGGTTCTGTGTAACCATTCTTATTAGCAACAGCTATCATTTCATTCCCTGTGAGGAAGCTGCTTGACTGTCCTCCTACTACCCCTTTAACTGCCCTGGCGTTTTAGTGCTTGGCATTTGTGAAAAACATTGCAGGAATATGTAATACTGGAACACATAACAACCTATTTGAGCTTTCTCAGCTTCCTAGTCCTTGCCATTTAACAGACCAACTCTTCCTGCCTCATGAAAAGCAACAATGATTGTTTCATTTCAGTATTCTTTACCATCCATCCCACAGCACTCCTAATTCAATACTTGATGCATACTTACTAGCTATAAAAATAAGGCTGCATCCTATATTTACTTCTTTCATGGTTTACAATCTCTACTTTACAATATTTATCCAACCATGCTGAGATTTCCCCTAAGAGAAATAACATTCATTCTGCAGTTCTTTAGAAGCAATGAAGCAATGAGGAGTATCATCCAACAATTTGCCTGACATACTTTATTGAAAAATGCAATAAGATTATTTTTAAAATTAACCATTTTCTTTACTATACATGCAAATATGGATATTGCAAAATAGGGAGGGGTTGTTTGGTTTGGGTTTTTTTTTCTGAACAGATACCTTTAGGAAGTATTGTCCCTTCAGCAGCTTCTGTCTGAAAGTGAAATATAAAAAGACAAAATTACAACTCTGGAGAAGGTAGAAAGAAATCTATGCATCTACAAGGCAGAAAATAGCTATTTGATCTCAGTTATTTTATTGACTAAAACTATTAAATTTGCTCTGAACAGCTGCAAAGGGATCAGTGGTTTGCTCTCTTTCATATTGTTTTAAATTTTCATTTAAACCCATCTTTGCTATAACCACATGTACACATGTAGCCTATTCAGGAATTCTAAAACAATATTTATAATAATTTTTATAAGTTTAACAATGCTCTACCAACAAGAAAAGAAAAAGGAACAAGGAAATTATTCATTGTAAACCTTAGGTTCCCAGGCTATAAGAAAACAATAGCACTTGTTCAGTGCCAAATATCCAACATATAGAAGGTACCCTGCCTGTGATCCATAACCCAACTAAGGAGAAGTGTGAGATCTATGAACCCTGAATAACCAAACCAAAATATAGTGCCATGTCTTTCCTTTTCTGCCAATGAAAGAAGCAGAAGGAGAACTAAAATGATATGCAGATAATTAGAAGGGTAACTTCATATCAAAAATATGTTAAGATTGTTTCTATTTTAACAAAATGATATTTGATTAATAAGCAAGACACTTACTGTTGAATCCCTACATCCATCTCTTAAGTGAACGTTATTTATGAATTCTACCCCTTTTTCCTTTCTCACAAATCTGCACCTATAAATGAGAATATTTAGTTATAATAAAACTGCATAAGCAACAAACAAAAACTGACTACATAACTTTGCAAAGTTTTGATACATTTCTTACATCATACAGAATGCTTACTTCTGAAATCTCTAAATACTTAACATCAGTAACTTCATTTAAACATTTCTAAAAATATCTTCATCACTTCAGCAGCACTTAACTTTTTCACATTTTTGGTGAACACAAAGCTAAATAGTTGTTGACCTTGAGAGCTGCTGCCACAGGCTTATAAAAATAAAGACTCCAATGAAAAACAATTATGTTAAAATGTTGGTTCTGTTAGTGTTTTGCAATCAAAGAAAAGCAGTCACTGGTCAGACAGGTGCCTTATGTGCTTTCTTTCCCTGCTTTCCAACCAGTCCTAGGCACTGGGCAGAGCTCTTCCCTACCAGAATATTTAAGGAATGCTGTAACTCCTCGACAACAGTTCTCTAGCTTCAGCAGTTACTTCACCTTCATGGTGTCCTGTCCATGGCCACAGAGAGCACGCTGTGAGACTGATACACTGCCACTCAAGCTGATGTGCAAACAAAAACCCCATATATGAGAGTTAATGATCTGAGAGGAACTAATCAAATCTGACATAACTTAAGCAACCTAAAACCAAACCCAGGTAAGGAGGAGTGAAATGTAACAAGACAATGCATCTTAAACCATTCACTGCACCTAGCCAAAGACTTGGAACAGCATCTCTTCAAGTGACAGCAACTAATAATTAAAAGCTGCCTGTATCACTACTGAAAAAAAGGATCAGCTAATGCATAAATACTTCCAACTTCCAGAGAGCTTTTCACCACAGAAGACAAATTTAGCAGCTAACACATAAAAGACATTGATTTTATCAATGTTATACAAGTAACTAAGTCTTTGTACTTGGACAGCTTTTATCCACCTGTAAGAAACAATGAGTCATGTACTATTCCTCCTTTCCTCAAGGCAGATTTTTAGACAAAATTAGCAATCTTTCTAAAAACTACTTCTGGGTCTGGAATCCTCAATCCTTTAAAATTATGCAGAACTATGTTTTGAATTCAATAGCACTATGGACTTTTGTTTGCACCATGACACAAGTTTTGTCATTTTGTATCCTGACATAAGTTACAAACTTTGGCATATATGAAGCTATTAAAGTAGCATTAGGAATGTAGCACTTGGATAATGAGGGAGAAAAAAAAAAAAGCAGATACGTATTCACAAAGCTTCACAATTCTGCCAGCTGAGACATCAGTTAAATCCAGACACAGAAATCCTCTCTTCCCTTTAATAATTCCTACAAACAAGCTGACATACAAACAACACTGATATAAAGTTATTCAGAAGGTGCAATTTCAGGACAACCTTTCAGATTGATCACCTCTAATGAGTCAGTTGTGCCCTCAACCTTTGAGATTTAATTTTCTTTCCCACCCATTTTAGAGAACTCCCTCCTACCTCTCAAAGATGACATTAGGTTAATGTCCTCTTCTGAGGCCTCCAATATAACATTAAAGCATATGTCGATGATTATACATATAATATTAGGACTACAGATGGAAAAAAAACCCACCAAAAATAACGACGCCATGCAAAAAATTACTTAAAATCTTTTCTAATTATTGAAAAAGAAAAACAAACCCTGGAAGATAACCAATATTCCTTTGGTGCCTACATGACAAAAATGAAGGAGAAGGAAGTGGAGGAGAGCACCTAAAAAAATAAATTATTTTCACTAATTTAAACAATGTTAAACCATAGCCAACCTTCTGAAACTTTTATTAGGATGCTCTGTCATTAAAAGATAATAAACTGTAAATAAGAATCAGACATCCAACAAGAAACCAGTAAAAATACTTACCCGGGAAACCATTTGGCATGTTGATCCCATGGGTCTTCATTTTCCTTCCATTCTTGCAATCCTCCACCACAGTGGAAACACACAACGTGGTCACCGTTACCTGAGGAGACACATAACAAGTTACATAGTTCTAGTAGGCATTCTAGTAGGCATCAGTTAAAATGTTACATTATTAAGAAAACATATTTATTTTATTGATTAGCTATTGTAACTACAAAGAACTCAATTTTCAAGGAGGACATAATACATATGATTTGAAACACATGTTTATGAGAGACTTGAGCTTAAAAAAATAAGTCACATGAGATATTCCTGAATTTTATTTTAACAAGTAATTACACAGATAAAAAGTGAAAGCTAAAAATAATCTATTATCAAATAGCTCAACCCACTGGTAAACAAGCCATGAAGCAGTCTACCACAAAGAATTAAGGACGTTTACACGCCTTTTCAGTCTTCCATTTCCCCATTAAGATTCATGGGCTCCACACAGCAGTAGCATAACTGGCTGAGAAGATGTTTGGAAAAATCACATTCTCTCTGTCTTAGCACTATGCCTACTACTACTGAGCCAGGAACTACTTAGATACTGTGTTTACTGAAGTGAGAGGAAGTACGGATAGATTTTTCCTACAGAGCTAAATCATTCTCAGGCCATAGGAAACAGTATTCACAGAAGTCACTTGAGCAGCCATCGGGACTGATAAACCGGTACCTATTTAGTGCAGCTCCACAATACAGATCTCACTTGGCTGTGAGAAGCTGGGTACTTTTAGGAATCCAAGAAGAAATCAATAAAAACAGTTCTACTGAGTACAAATATTGCCCATATAACACTCATACAAGAATATATCAAAGCCACAAGTAAAACAAGTGGAATCAGATTTAAAAGTTCTTCTGAGAGCTACTAAGAGAGAAACCAATTAAGATGAGAGCAAGAAATTATCCCAGATAATCCTCTTTTTCTTTGTGACCTAATAATAGCACCACTTTGTGTACAGCATCTCTCAGTGAAGAATTTCACAGAGCTTTAACAGCACTGGGCAATTCAATCTAATTGGGAAACCAGTGCACAACGCCATTGGGAGTCTTATCCAAGTCAAATATTACATGGCTATGAGTAAAAGCTCTTCCACTGGAGTCACTGTCTTCATAAAGCTTTTACATTAGGTAGTATGAGTATTTGCTAGTTTCGGGTGTCCGAATGCTATGATAACACGTGTTAATTAAATAAAATGGTACACAACCTGGATTGTCTTGTTCACAGGCTTCCGAACAGGCCACAAGCCCACTCCTTACACCAAAACATTTCATATTAGAATAAAAACAATGCTTATTTTTTCATAACAAGACACTTGTATAAAATTTCTTTGTAAAATACATTAGCCATTTTAAGGCCTGGCTTACCTATGCTATAGAACCCAGCTTCAGCAAGCTGCTCCTTGTCAACAGGATATATCCAAGTTAAAAATGTTTGTAAACGTCTTCCATATTCTGCCATAGATGGATTCCTTGGATGCTGTGCATCATTCAGACCACTTCTCCCAAGCTCAGGAGAAACAGACTCACTTGGAACATTTCCAACATCCCGGCCCAGGACAAAAAAGCATTTGGGAAAATGCCTCCTGTGTTCTGACCAAGCTCTGTCACTGGGTTCCCACTGTTTCAATTTTCCACCACAACAAAAACACGCCACTTGATCACCAACACCTGTATAATAGAATCCAGCGTTAGCTAATTCCTTTGGTGTCAACTGCCCATTGAGGGGCCAGTTGTGAAAAGACTTTAATCTTGTCTCTTCACTGCACATAGCAGGGATTTTAGGATACAAAGTATCTGACATATCCACAACCTGCCTAGTTCTCAAAAGATAATCTGCCTCCAGATCAGATGGGTCATCCAGGGCACACGGGAGGGCTGAATTGCTGGGACCATTTTCAGTTCTATGCTAGTTCTGGGCGAGAGGATGTCTGCTATTTTCCAGAAAAGTAGATTCAGTAATAAATTTGCAATTTGGTGAAAGGTTTTTGTGCCTCTCAACTGCAGAATCCCCAAGCGTCCATCCTTCAATAGTTATATGGCAACTGAAGCACTTCACTTTGTCACTTTCTCCAGTATAAACAAAGCCAGCTCGTGCTAGTGCTGATGCTGAAACGGGACAGTCAAGTGGAAATCCAACGAAAGTTCCTAATCGGTAGCGTTCCTGTGCCCATTCCTGGTCATGGCCAGTGTCTGGAGTGGCACAAGCTTCCGAGTTTTCTGGGCCGTTACACGTCATCTCTTCATAAGTAGGGGTCTCCCTTCAGATTTCCTAAACAAAGAATAAATGCTTTAATTTCAGACAGAAGAACAGATTATACCCATATGCAAGTCTGGAAAATGGTTAAATTAAACTAGCTATCCTTTATGTACTGAAATAATGCTTCTTTCTCTTCCCTCCCATCTCACCCTTGCCTGCTTCCTCTGCCATGCAGAGGCAAACACGAAAACATTAAAACCAAAATAAAGTCGTAAAGAAAGGCAGGAAGATAGTGAAGTTTTATAGGCAAATAAAAGTTTACCTGGAAAACTCAGGTTTATATACTTACAGCTTTAAAAGCATGCTCTACTTCTTAACAAGCATTGGAAGAATGAAATCAACAAAATATTTAACAAAAGCTCTGGGTAAAGCCCTGCCAAAAGGCTTCCGAACCCGAAATACAAAGTTGTCAACTTTAAAATGCTGATCTAAACGAGACCACAATTGCAAGATTTTACAGCCCAGTTCTGAAACACATCTTCATTTTTCCCTGTACTAAGGCCATGACCACCACACCCATTACAGATGGGCAACAACTGGTAAAACCATCATCAAAAAGAAAAAAAGCCTTTGGACTTGTGTTATATTGTAAAGACACACATCTCAGTTTTCCTTTTAGCCAAATCTCTCATGAAATGAACTATCAGATGTTTCACTGGGGCATTTTACCGAAATGCTGTGCTCTGCTTCTAAGATCAGTGTTTCAGACTACCCAGCACCAGCGTTCATGTCCTGCACATTGCTTCCATGCCCTGCCTACACTCTGTCAAAAGTTCCTGTGCCTCTGCCATCACCTCAGCCTTTCCTCCCTTCAGGAATGTCATTCTCCTTACCACCTGTCCCACATTCCTATTCCTGCCTACACTTTTCCAGGGTGGGTACCAACTGCTAGTCCTGCCCCGCACCCTTCTGCGCCAGAAGGCTGCCAAGAGCACTCAGACAAGCCCGTTTCACATGGATGAAAGCAAGCAACTTGGTTCCTGGAGCTCCTGTGCAAGAACCACAAACTGACACAGTCATCGCCTTCATCCCAAGATGGATGAAGCCAGAGAACAGTAAAAATTTATCTACCATCCTCACAAGCGCAGTGATACTAGTGATATAGAAAGTCTTAGGCAAAACACAGGTTACTGCTGATGTACATCTCAAACTTCTCCTTTAATAAGTGGTAAATTAAATAATGAGACTGTCCAAATAGAATTCTTAGAACAAAGCAATAACAATTCAGCAATTAGCAAAAATAAAAGCATATAAGGAAGAATGGAATATGTATTTATTTGAACAAGTGTCGTCCCCCATTTTCTACATTGATCCTGAAATGTATCAATTTCCAGTTCTCAAGTTTATAAGGTAGGCCAGACAAAAATTTAGCTTCCTCAACATCTGCATTAATATTAACTATATTTTCTGTGAGGTCAATGTAGATGTTACAGGTATAACAATTACTTAAGTAACACCAGATTTAGCTTCTACAGGAAGGACAAAAACCTTTTTTAAAGTTCAGAAGAGGGAGGGAAAAATTAAAATGACTACGCATTGCAGGTTGCTGCATCCTTTGCCAAGATGACAAAGATAATTAATCTATAAGCAGGTTGAGAAAACAAGACATTAGAGACCCAGCATGTTTGCTTCATGTAATCATGGACACAAGGCTAACTCTGAGCACCCGCTTTAATTCTTTCTCCAAGTCAGTTTGTGACTAATGTAATGACACTAGAAATTATACTGTGGTTTTTAAAAATAGCTTTTCAAAAATAACTTCTGAATAAATTGCATGGACTGACCTACAAAGCTGACCTATATGCTTGTTTTGACTTTGAAGGTCAAAAAAAAAAGTCAGTAATAGTAATATGAATCGTGTAGTAGTATATGTAGAAGCAGTGTAGTAATATGAAAGCTGTCACAATACATTTATTTTTTAATACTCATATGTATATTACAAACAATCCATTTTTATAAAATGTTCGAAAGCTCACATTTATTTCCTTTTAAAATCTTATTTAAAACCCTCTAGGACTGTTTCTGGAAAGATCTCAAGTGAGCTTATGGATCTATCATCATTACTATGACACTGCATTCATAAAATAATTTGTGTTACTCAAATACTGTTAGTTGCATACTAATTTTCTTATCTGCATGCCTAAAAGACTTTCTACAAGAAAGCAAACAAAGCCTTCCACACATCCTTCAGAGACTTCTTTTCAAAACGTCCGTTGAAAAAAACAAATACACATACTTTCGATGTATGAATAGCAGTATACCTTCATTTCTATTTTACTTATACAGAAATGTGAAACAGACACTGTTCAGAAACAGTGAAAACACAACTCATCCTATTGAAATTTTTACATTTTTAAAATTGTAAAAAAATAAAATAAATATTCTACATCCCCTTTTGATCTGTTGCAGACAAAACAACTGCAGCAAATGAGAGATGATCTACTGGGCCATTCTCTGTAATTTGCCCTCCCTGTCTTTAGTGAAGGAAGGGGTAAAGACAGACCAAGGTTTAAGCCTAACATCTCAAGAACTGACTACAATGATGATTATGATATATGAAGTTAAACCATTAAGAGACAAAATTAATTATGTCCCCACTTCTCATAAACTACCTGCATGCTCTATTTTAAGCACCACTTAACTGCTCCATTATCAGAACTCATCCTAAAAAGAAATCTGATACAGCAGTATTGTATGCATAGAGAGTTACAACATAATTAATATATACCAGATGCATATATATATAAAACTTCATTATAACATGAATGCACTGCTTACAGTAAGTGATTATTTTTCATAAGCTAAAGAAGAAATTTTTACCAAAGCAATCTGAATGAATATTGTATCTTAAGTAAGGCCCAGACTCTCCTGTGCCCTCTGACAGGGATGATCTTCAAATCATACTTAAGCTACATGAGCAAGCCTGGGTCTTACGGTACTTTTCCAGACCCTTTTACTAAAACTCTCCTCCTACAACATCAGAAAATTTAAGAAAACTCATGACATTTTTTTTAGTAAATAAGCCGTAAATTCTAAAATATTTTTATATAATGCAATTTGTAAACATCTACATTTAGGTAACTTGATTCCAAAGACCCCACTTCTTTTGAAGCAGGCTTCATTTTTAGTGTCGTAAACATACGATGTTTAATTGTGCATTTTCTCCTCTTCTCCCAAAGTAACTTCTCACCTTTAAAAATACAGGCTGCAGAACTCAAAATATCATGTAGGTGGTGTATCTCATATATGACAGACTTTCATAACTGCAATAACAGCACGAGTTTTAAGCTATTACTTAAACCAGTTTGTACTAGTTTTACTCCACTTACTCTTGGTGTTTCCTGGAAAGATGTGTATGTGTTTTAATAGCACTAAGGAACTGAGAAGGAAACACTTGAGCAACGACACAAAGAGAGAAGGAAGAGAATCAAAGAGTAAACTAAAATATTAGAAATAAGGATGAAGATGATTTTTTTTTTCAGTTTTATTGACTACTTTTAATTAACTGTGAACGCTAGGCAAAAATAAACTAACAAAACAACCTAAAATTCAGTATCTCTACCAGTCTCCACTGCAATGGAAATCACAGGATAGTACCTTTCAGCCTAATACAACAGCGGTATCTGAAGCAGAAAAAAAATAAATCTCTATGTACTGTACTGGCTGTTCTAACACTTGATGGAAAATATAATTGGAAATAACCGCTAGGATAAAGCTAGAAAAACATATACATAATGCATTCACCACTCAGTACATTGAGATTAGCAGCTTTATTCTTTCAAACAGTTTTTTCTACAGTGCTATGAATATTTCAATACTCCTTCTGTTAACACAGTGAATAACAAAAAAAATAAATTATGTCCTCAATATGGTGATAATCAAAGTATCTGCCACATTTGGGTTCTCTGGAAGTAAGCAATCTACCTCAGTCCTCACAGCCAAACCAGCATGAAAAGCAAATACCCAAAGAGCGGCAAGTACTGACAGAAGGTCTAATCACCACAGATCAATTCTTTAATATGAAGTAACTGTTTCAAATTCTATCAACTGCTTTATTTAATCTTCATCTTTTGCAATCCCTTGCAGGGATCTGCAAGCTTTAGCAACACGCCATCCACGTCAGGAAGCCCTTTCCTTACGACAGCCCCTCTAAACATAGTTGGTTTACATTTCAGTATAATTTTATCTATAAGAAAAAGACATTAACATATTCATTAAGCATTGAGGCAAACTCTTTGCCTGTGTGAGTACTGCTTTAAATACAACATTAGTACTACTTTAAATGCAACATCAAGTTCAATTATTTCTATTTCAAACAACTGTTAAAAGCAACTGTTCAAATTTTAAAACTTAAACTAGCTTAGGAATGGTATTTCTACACAGGTATTTTAACAGTTGCCCTACTTCAACTAACTGGAGTAATGACATAGAACTACATCCTGCACCATAACAGCACTCAAACATTAGCTGCAGAAGAAAAATAACTGAAGGTAAATTTTTGAATTGTTTATGGCTAAGAAACATCAATTCATAAAAAGCAGCCAACTAAGACGTGTAGAGTCTACAATACATACCAGCAGCAAACCCGAGTTCAGTGAGTATACTTTATGCATATGGCAGTTAATTAAGCCTTTCTGCATAGATTTAACGAAAAGTAGAAGGTCCAGAAATGTTAAAATGCATCTTCACTTATAAAACTCAGGAGATTTTTAAACTCTTATTGAAGAATTAAATATCTTCTTATATACATAGTAAGTAAACAAAGCCTATTTAGCCTGAAAGACTTCCAGAAGCTGAGCCAAGATTAATCCTGCTTTTAAATATCTGAAAGTATTTGTCACAAGACACCTCCCACTTTCAAGCTAAAGTACCGATGTATATAGTCTACTGATTACATTTCAGAAGAAAAAATAAAGACAAAAATTCATAGAAAAAATGTTAACTTATTCAAAATGCAAAACTGCGCACTGTAGTTTTGCAAGCCAAACATGTTCAATTCGGGTTTAAAAATATTAAAAGATATGATTATATGCAGAAATACATCATCATTGCACTACCTAGAGCTGAAACGCTTCAAAGGGAAAGTACAGAACCTGCTTTTCTCTTTCAAGTATATTTTATTAGACATGATTATTTCCATCGTTAATCCTAAAACACATTGGCATTCTAAGGAGTTATTTTTAATTCTTCCACATGACAGGCATGGCAGTAACCTCCAAGACAGAAACCACCTTGCACAGCTTCATGTTCCTGACCAAAGGGTACATAAACATAGAGCTTCTACTGCTTGACATGCTGACTATGAGAGCAATGTTAGTGTATGTTGTTGACTGAATTTTGAAATGTGAGAGTAGTGCACCAAGTAAATATCAAACAGAACATACTGTACCAGCTGACACACAGATTATGCATATGTCACTTCACTGAATTTCACTTTGTGCCTGCTCAGCTGCAATTAGATCAAGGAAGGTGCATGCTGCTAACTGAAAGCATTCTTATAAAGATTAAAACTACAAGAAGCCTAGGATTTATTTAAACAGCATTTACAAATTTTAGCACACATATCTAAGTATCAGTAGCCATTAAAAAAAAAATATTCTGCTTAGAGATATTTATTTTTAAAGAGAGTATGTATCTACACAATGCCTTTTGATTCAGTGCCAAAGCTTACATAAATCCTTCAGCTCAGCTTCATCTGTCTGTTTTTCAAACAGGTCCTACTTAGCTTCCCATCAGCCAGTCAGCTGCTCAAGGTTATAGTAGGCTGTTAGATCCTCCCAATTCTTGACTCCAGTCACAAAGACTTTTACACTCTTTCCATCTTAGAAATAAAGAGGCCAATAGAAACATACCATTCCCAGAATGATTTTCCTATTGTATTTTTCTTCATGAAGTCATATGGGTACAGAAGAGAGCAAGAATGGATTCATGGCAGTGCTCTCAATAGGTAAGAGTAGGACAAATTTGCATCTGCCAAAGGTGGAGAAAAAAAATTGTTTTTGTGAACTTGCAAGATAAATGTCTTCAGAGGAAATTTAGCTGTAGTTATGAGAAGGAAAGAGTAAGTACCAGCTGCTGTAGAAAAAGCTGGCATGTTGTAGACTCCCACAGAGCAAAAGTAAAACATAAGACATAATGGATTACAGCCATTAATGAATGTATAAATAAGAGTTATCCAAAATGACCAAGGAAGAGGAAGGACTAAAGGTCTGGAGAAAGCCATTTTAGCTCTACCACACATAGCCAAGTGTTTAGTGGAGAGCAAAGCGTGAAAGAGATGTTGGCATTTTTAATTTGGACACAGGAAACCTATCTAAAGCAAAGCTTTAGTTCTGACAGCTGCTGCCACTGAAATTAATTGCCTACAGATGACAGACTAAACTTCCAGCACTTTTCCCTCTAATAGAAAACATCTCTGAAGTTATTTTTAATGCAATTTGAAGCATACTTCCATCCATGAAAGCCTACCAATACATTCTGGGGGCTATGCAAGCCATGTAGTTCCCACCCTCCCAAAAGCAGAAATGACAAGCTACTTCTGTTGACGATGAAGTTGATAAACTACATAAATTAAAAAAAGAAAAATTAAATCTGCAATTATAAAGTACATCTCTATAGAAATGTAAACCCTGAAATTTGAGCTACTGGTTAAAAAAACCAAAAAAATATCCACTCAATGGGGGTATATTAAGTAGCATAGGCAGTAGGAAAAAGTGCTGCAAAACTTGCAGCATCCTGGGATGCATCTCCTTTCCTGAGTGTCAGCTGTGCTCCAGCTTTTAGTGGTACATCCTTTTACAAACTTACAGTTGAGGAAAAAGATGGAAAAAAGAAGGCATCTTTCATAAAAGAGACATAATGATAGAAGACTTTAGCTACAGCAACATGATTGTTGCTACAGCAAAACTGCTGAATCTTCTGGTTTCCAAATAAAGAAGTTGTAAACCAGACAAGTAGAAAGAGCCCGTCTCCTCCTGCCTTGCCCACTGGTAAGGATGTTCACTTCACCCAGCTAATACTCCTGACCACACCAGTGCCACTGAGTGCATTATTCACATTCATTTAACTGCAGCCTGATGCAGAAGTCTGATACCAGTGATACTTTCTGATATCACTATCATGAATATTTTGCCATTAAAGAACGAGGTGAATTTGTATGTATATTTTTACTGTTATGTATATAAACACACAACTCATCATCTTGTAAACTTGGAAATCTCTCTTGAATTATCTTCTATATTTCAGTTTTATATTTGTCAGGAAACTGGAATGATGTGAAGATTAGTTCTAATTATAGTATCATACCAAAAGTGAAATATGAAAGTTGCACCTGTTGAAAACACTCTGCTTGCCTTTCTATTTAATAAGAAACTCACTGAAACGTAGAAGGGCAAGGACAATGAATTGCAAAGCATGTACAGGTTCATTTTATGTTTTATATGACAGGAATTACATTGTTCACAGCAGCTGGCTCCTCAACTTCAACAGGATCCTAATAAGCAAGTTTTAAAATAGAACCTGCTCTCTAGTAAAGATGATTTTGGATAGACATCAAGTACAAATTTAACACAGAAGGCACACAGGTTCTCTTGTAACAATTTTCAGTTATACACATACAGTATTACCACTTCCATTTCTAAAAAAGGAAATGCTCCCAAAATTAGATGTGTAGAATCTCCTCTCATGAAATGAATTTATGTCCCTTCCTCACCCACTCAAAAGTACAGCACCATATGGGAGGCTAAAAGTCTTACTTATGGTATCAGCTAGATAACTAATCAAGGATAGAAAAAGCAAGAGCAAATATTCTGTGGCATAGTTAGCGCTATTATGAATTATCACCAACTAGTATTCTAGCATTCCAGGTCCTGAAGGACAATCCAATTTAAGTTTTGCATGCCTTCTTCAGTCTTAATATTATTTTCAACCTTCATCTTTTCATGTTCAAAAATGTTGCTATTTCTGGAGCCTGACTTTCAATCAATGTGTTCAGAATATTTTGGATTACAACTCCACAAGACAGACCACATGCTACAAAAAATAATAAGCAGCAAAAGACTGTATGTTGATAACTCCTGGAAAAAAAATAATGCAGGGTACTTACAATAGTTTTTCCTTAAGAAATTAGCATCCAACCAGATCAAGTTTGGTAATAGATTAATCAAAGCAGATACTGGTTTCATCTCTATTTTCCACCAATCTTTAGAACAAATCCCAATGTTTACATTCCTGTTGGGAGAAAAAACAAAGGTTAAAAAATTTCCTTTTCACATAACCTTCAGCATAGTTTACAAAGGCACAACTCCAAAACTATGATTAAAAAAATAAATTAATTAAAATTCTATCCTTTTGGCCAACAAATCCAAATAAAATATATTCTAAAGTTGAGAGAGTCTGAGATTGGGGAAGTCTTAAATTCAGATATTTTACTGAAACTAGAAAGGAATGTAACATTGGTGAGACTCCTGAAGATCCAAAGAGGGTAAAACAAAGTCCTGGAATTAAAAACTAGAGGGCAGCAAAAAGGAGAAAGACTGTAACAGTAGATGGAATAAGATCCAATGATCCAGCCCTCTCTCAGCTAGGAAATTCTGCATCTGATTATAAATTGGATTTTCTGAAACTCCTCAGCTCCCTGCAGCTGTCTCGCCCACCCTGACAGGATACCAACAGACTCAGAAGCATTATCGAGGTACACTGAGGCCTGAAACAAAGTCCATCTTTATATTTCAAAAACAAAGATATGAACACACATTTGCTTACTGTTGTGATTACACATGCAAGTCTGAGTCCTATCAGTGGGAGTAGTCAAAAAAGTGCCACAACCAATCAACAACCCTCCTCAGAATTCTTTCACTTTTGCTGCTGGTTACAAAGGGCGAGGCCAGAGGAGTTACAGCACAATCATTAACTCGTTCCTTTGCCCTTCTTGGCCAATGCTGTATCTGTAGTTTCCGACAGAAAGTAGTACTTGGGTGTACTTTAAAGGGCCTCAAGGAAAACTGCAAAGCAGTCAAGCAGACAGCAAAACGAAGCACTTACAAAAATGAAAAATATCCAAATAAAAGCTTAATCAACAAATCCATCACATGAAAACTTGCTTTCTTAAAATACTTCACTGTTGTCTTCTGTTATGTGGTGATTTATTTAATGATAAACAAAGCATAGATTAAGTTAATGTATATCCTACTGCTCTTTGTTAAGATATTAGATTAAAAAAAAGTATTTGACAAAAACGTATTTTTTCCCCAAGTTGGCTGCTTTTCCTTCCAAATGAGTCTACTGCAAGATCTTGTAGTTTCTAATTGTTCATTAAAGAAACAAAATCTTCCCACTTAGCTATAAATTGCAACGTAAGATTGTAGCAATGAAGGGATAATGAAAGCAGTTCTGCAAAAGTAGTTTCAAGACCAAATTTATACTTTTTTAGCAGATGCAAATTAATAAACAATTAAAAGGGACAGAAATTACCAAGACTAAAAATAGTTATCACACCCATTTATAGGGCTTCTATCAGGAAGACAGAAGCATCAGAAACTCTAGTATAGAAAAAGAAATACACTAACTGTTAAAGAGAAATGCATCGGTATATATACATAACATTGTGCAAAAGAGAACTGCTTGAACTGAAGTTTGAATTACAGCTGAACAAAAATATGATCCAAGTAAACTTCCTGCAGAATTCTTAACTACCGAATTCTTACCGTAGAAAACCTGAACAAAACTGCATTTCTACTTAGAAGCAGCAAGAAAGGGCATTCTATAAAGTGAGACGTCTACTAAATAATAGAAAACAAGAAAAAAGAAAGAGTGGTCAAGGGGAGACAAGACAATATTCGAGTATATCAAAAAGAACCCAAGACGACCACAAAACAGCGCATTAGCACAGCAAATGTTTTTTTGACTGCCTTAGGAGAACACAGCCCGAACCGCTCTATTCCATGGAAGTCTCTGTGGGGCCGTCAGGCCGGCGGGGACGGGGCCGGCTGTCCCGCCCCGAGGGGATGGCTGCGGCTCCGGGACGGGGCTCCGGCGGACCCGGGGGCGGGCCCGGCACCGGCACCTCACGGCCGAGGGGGCGCGCCCGGTTCCCATGGCAACGCCACCCCCGCCGCCGCCGCTCGGGAGAGGCCAGGACAGCGGCGCCCCCGCCAGCCCCGGCACCGGCTGCCTGAGGGGCGGGAGGGCCCCGGGTACCGCGGAGAGACCGAGCCCCCTGCCCCGCGCGGGGAGCCCCGCCGAACTGCCCGGGGCAGGGAGAGCCACCAGAGCGGGCAGTCAGGGAGCGCGTTCCGCCCTCTGCCCCAGGGTACCGACGGCCGCGGCCGCCTGACAACTCACCGCACGGCGTCCTTCTCCTCGCCGGCACCGGCTGCGGGGACCGCTCCGCCGCCGGCGCACGGCAAGAAAATGGCGGTTCCCGGCAGCCTCTCGGCCGCTCGGAGTCGAGGCGGCAGGGAGCAGCGCCCCCTGGCGGGCTGGGGGGGGCGCGGCAGGCCGGCGCGCACCAGCGGAGGGCGCCACGCAGTGGCAGCGGCGGGAAGCGCAGGGCGGCCGTGCCCGTCGCCGCCTCAGCACCGCGCCTCGGCTCCTTCCGCTTCTCATCCCCTCAGCGCCTCAGCTCCTTCTCCTTCTCCGTCCCCTCAGCGCCTCGGCTCCTTCTCCGTCCCCTCAGCTCCTTCTCCTTCATCACCTCAGCGCCTCAGCTCCCACCGCGCCGCCCTTCCCAGGCCGGTGTTGAAGATGCTGATTCTCCCTCAGCATCTTCAACAGCCCCCTTCATTTCACACTGTCTTCTCCAGACAGCTTCTGGTCTGGTGCATGCTAGTCCCTGAGCTCTCCTTGCTCTAACCTGTTGTCCCCGCAATCACAGCTTGTTATGACTTAAATCTATTAAATGCAGGGCAGGGCGGTGGGGAGGGGAGCTCCCCGGTGGGTCTGCAGCCCACAGGGCCCTGTGAAGTCTCATGGACCCATCACCAGCCAACTGACAAGATCGATAGTAATAAAGTCTGACCTACGTAAGGTGTGGTTCTCAAGAACCAGCTTGGCTGCAAGACTGCATGACAGCGCAGTTATTTATTCTGAAATTTATAGACCTCTCTTAACTGGCTGCATAAGGGGAATTGAGAAACGATCTACCGGACGCTGATCTAAGTACTCGCAGAAGACGTGAGATGCCTACCGGCGGTGCCTCTCAGCACAGCTCCGGCTGTATTATAATTGTGGCTTAATCTTTGCCCATAAATCATAGGGATATTAAAGAAAGCAGGTAGTGCTACATATTAATAAGTTTGCCAGGGACTGGCCTTTTTTTTTCCCTTCCAATTGTGTTCTCACTAGCTATCATAAATTTCATGTGTTTGGACTAGAATTTGCCAAATCAGGCAGAAACCTCAGGCCATGTTCTTTGGTAATTGTAACCAAAAGAACCTAGTCATTTTCAAGACTAAGATCATTGTTGTGCAACGTTAAAATATTCCATTAACCATTTTCTCTTTTTTTTGAAACTCAGGTGCCCTCATGATTGATCCCACAAATTTTAATGTATCCGAGATACTTGGCTTTGCGTAGGGGACCTGCTTCCTGCTATCCTCAAGATTAAGTCAGCTACTTGGAGAAACATTCTCAAACTTTGTTGGTTTTCCCACTGTGTTTATGATCAGTAGCAACTTACTTTTTCCAAATCTTACATCTCTGAAGTCTTGTGGCAGATAGTTTGGGATATTTTCAGGAGAAGTAGTCTAATCATACAATGTGCCAGAATGTTTGCAGATTCCAGGGCTCAGACTGAAAGCCCTTTGGGATAAGGATTGTTTCTCACTTTATGTTGTTCACCAACTACTAAGACCCCAATTTGATTCAAAACTTCTAGTTATTATAACTATAGTAGCTTCCATTACTATAAGTAATGATATAGTAACAAACTCCCTTTGGTCGATTAGAAAAAAATCATAATGAATATTCAGTAGTCAACAACAATACACAGTAACTTAGGATGCAAGTCAAATGTAAAAGGCTTGAGTATTACTGGCAATATTTCTGTGAGCCAGACAGAATTTGGTTGCCTAAAATGCCAGGATGATAACTGTACATGTTTTACTCTCTGAGAAATATTGCAGTAGTGAAAATCACATCAGTCTAAACTCATTTCACATCAGTCCAAAGCAAGATTATTTAAGGATCTTTGGCATAATATGACACAGTAAGAGGCTTGTACCTTAACACTGCAATGTGAATATGAATATTTAATCTTATAAATCCTTGTCATATCGCATTATTAATACATTCATTAGCAATGATTTTCACAAAGGCCATTGCTCTGTTGATGTTTTGATACTTTTCCAAATTAAATGGATTGTTTTTAGAGATCACAAGGTGTTTTTATAGTGATCGCCTTACAGGGTTTGATGTCTAAATCGAAAACTTTGGTAAAACAAACCCAAAAAGCTCTAGTACCAATACCTACAAGAAGCAGAAAACATAACGGAAAAGAAAAACATCAGCAATAAGGACAGTAATGCTCAGAAAATGTCTGTTTTTTAAACAAGCTAGTTCTTTGTTTTCTGTTGGGCTTAACCAACTTAAAGGTCAGTTTGAACAGAGTTCTGAATCACTCAGTGGAACTGTAAGCCAAAGAGTACAGTTGTACTGTAAACCCAAAACAATATCTTTAATGACCCAACAGCATTAAAACTAATCATATTACTTCAAAGTACTTTTGATTGCAGATAGAATTGTACAATGGTGGTATTTGAGCTACAGAGAGCCATTACACTTTGAAGAAAATTTCAAGCAGTATCTTTGTCAAGGCAAACTGGATGTAGACAAATACTCGTATATGCTGCATTCCCTCTTCCATTTGAAATGGAATGAACAAAATTGTTTCTAAAATTTGTTGAGTAGTCTGTATTAAAACAAACAAAAGATTTAGTTTATTGACTTCATGTAGACATAGCCTCACTGAGCCTTCTCGTCAGCTTTTTTGTGGAAGGACTTCCACTACTTTATGGACCTTAACTGACCATAAAGCAATTCCATACTTTAAGTATCTTTGTCTTAGTCTTCTATTTTATTCTCAGATAAACTGAAGAAAAAAAAAAAGAATAGAAATCTTACAGAGATGAAAAGAACCTTTGGTGAGATAAAGAAATGCCTCTCTCAATCTGATTTATATGCTTCATTAAATTATAATCAATAGATATGGAAAATCATCTTGCTGTGTAGAAGTGTACATATGCATGTGCACATTGTGGTTTCTGTAGTGCTGTGTTCCTGCGTGATGGATCATATTGTAATTTCTCAGCTCATGTAATTTGTGCTATGAATAAGTAAAGAAACAAGCCAGTTAGCTTGAAAAGTAGATGCTACTTAGCATACACGGTGATAGTTTACACACTGCTCTTCCAAGCCCAGTACTGCACCCTGGAATTGTATTTGTTTCTTCTACTCTGGGGATTAACTCACCGTATATATTATTACATAGGGTTGATTGAAACTGCTACTTTTCATTAAAGTGTCATTTTTAAAAAGTAAACATGAGTCAACTCATGAATCTGAAGTGTCTGGAAATGGTGGTTTTGGCTGCAGCTCGTTTGAAAATGCACATTTGCTTAACAAAGGGGCCATACTTGGGGGCATAAAGGCGAGCTTCCAACCACTGCCTATGTCTGACTAAGGGAACTCCAATAGGTGGATTTGGGGGGATTTTCTGCTAAGTGGAAGAGATTTCAGATGCTTGGGCGGTTTTTGGGGGTGTGGGTTTTTTTTTTCCATAGCTTGGACAATTTTCAAATTGGACAATTTCCACATGCTTCAAATTGTTTCATGCAAAGTTGATCTTTTAACATCCTTCCGGGTGAGGAGTTGGTAATGTTTACAAGCTGTATTTAATGCAACTTCTACTAAAATTTCCATGAAAATTAAACAAAAATTTCTTTTAAAATTACTATTCCAAATCTTTAAATACATATTTTGGATTAATGTGGAGAATTTTAATTATAGAAAACTTCATGAAATTCAACAAGAACAAATGCAAATTCCTGCATCTGGCAAGGAATAACCTCTGGCAATGATAACTACCGGGGAGCAGCTCTGCAGAAGAGGACCTGGGGATGTGGGTAGACATGAACCCCCAGTGTGCCCTGGCAGAACGGTGGCCAGTAGTGTGGTGGGCAGTATGAACACGAGCACTGGACCTGAGGATTGAGGGGACTCATTACCCTTCATTCAGCACTCATTAGACCACATGTAGAATACTGCATCCAGTTTTAGGAACCCCAGTACAAGAAAAGCCTGATCAGCTGGGGTGAGGTCAGCACCCTTGGACCACTAGGATGGTTAGGGGTTACCAAGGAAAGAGGGAGGACTGGTTCAGCCCAGAGAAGACATGACTTTGTGGGACCTAACAGCAACCTTCCTGTACTTTTAAGGGGGCTACCAAGAAGATAGGGGCAGTCTCTTCACAGTGGTGCGTGATGGAAGGGCAAGGGACAAGGTGCATAAATGGAAACAAGAGGTTCGGAGTGGGTATAAGCAAAAGCTTTTCAACCAACAGTCAAGCAGTCCCCATTCTTGGAGGGCTTCGTGACCAGACTGAATAAAGCCCCAGGAGACTTGATCTGACCTCATGGCAGGGGGTTGGATTAGATTGCCTCCTGAGATGCTTTCCAACTTGAATTACTCTATGAGGCTATGATTAAAAAATATAAAAAATCATATAAAACTGAAAAATCAGATCATACCAAAAGTATAATCTCTTTGAAACTTCCTATAGGCAGCCATGTTAAAAATTTCGACCAGTTCCAAGTTGTTTGAGTCAGAGAAATACAAACTGGACTGAGCAAACAGTTCTTTGACACGAACTGTTTAGTCAATAATGGGCCATGAGTCACAGAGGTTCATATGGGAAATTGTGTTTGTTTATATATTCCCTAAGAAATTAATTTAATTTCTTATTTCCTACTGATCTCATTGACTCATTAATGGGTCCATTACTGTCAGGTTAATGAACGGAGTGAGAGAAGCTATTCAATCCACAGCTGGAATTGCAGAGGTGCAGCAGAGAAAGAAAATCAAATGCAGAAAAATGACAAAGCAGTGCCTTAACTAAGAACATTTTCTCATGAATATGGTAATAAAAAATTGAGTAACTGATAGGTAACAGACGTCTGAAAGCTGTGCTTTTCCCTCGAATTGCATCCAGTGTTCTTGCTACCATCGGAAGAAGAAATGCAGTTATTTTATGGGAATAGAAAAGCCTTGCATTTGTTTGCTTGTCCGCAGAAAATCAAATCTGATTCTCTTTCCCAAAAGAGTACGACACCTATTCCCCTTATCCAAAGCACTTATTATTACAGCACATTCTTCATTTCCTTTCATTGCAAGCAGGTAATAAACATCATTCTCATTACATTTTAGTGAAGGTAGTGGAAAAGTCCAAAGGGAAGTTAGAGATAATTAGAGGTATCATCATAGTATAGAAATAGGAAAAGTTGAAAAGACATGATGCGCCTTTATAATTTCAGCAATGAAATCTTAGGCAGGACAGATTTTCCTATAACTCCCAAATCCATTGCTGATCAGACAACGCAATAAAATACCTTCTCATTAAAATTAAAAGCATCAAATAATGGTGGAAGCACTGAACCCGAGAAAATACGCCCTGTGAAAAAGTTAGCATTTAAGCCTGTAAATAAACAGTCTTCTTTTGATATCTGGGTATACTGCTGGCTGAAGCTGCTTCTAAGTGCACTTGCACGTGGTGTCAAATCAGGGACAAACACAGAGCATTTACTTTCTTTCACAATTCATTGAGCAGGCAAGCAGGGATAAATGCCAGATGAAGATGAAAACGGTAAACATGCAGCTAGTGATTTATTTTTGCTCTGTTTGAACTGATTAATGAAATAAATAATTATCTAGATCTGGGACTTTGGACTTAGCAAGCATGTGGCATATGGCCACATCCATGGTTTTCTATTCATATTCCTTTGTGCTGGAACATTAGTGGTGGCACACAGGTGCTATATATTATAAGTCAGTGATATAATAAGTAAAAAAATGCCAAGTTCAAGGCAACAGTTGCCTGTTCCATGCATGCTTTCCCATGTTATCCTGATGGGAGAAAAGAGGCAGAGAGGGATGAAGAGGAATGCTATGATTAACAAACACATCCCTTTTATCTGATCACTTTGGTCATTCATTTTTCCCACATCCCGTTGATGATGTCTGAGAATTATTATATTTGGGGGAAACTCAAGGTGACTATCTGAATCTTAGTTGGGCAAACTTTTCTGTAGTTCTTAAATGCTTTAGATTGCTGCTTAAATGAAGATGTAAAAATATATTCTTCACATGTCAAAGGCAGGTGTGTTTAATCAAGTATATTCTGACTTTGGACTAGCTCAGAATCAAAGAACCAGATGGAGAAGCAGCAGGAGAAGAGAGAACAATGGACAAAGTGCCACCAGGCTGCCTTCCAGGTTGGGATCAAGAATAAGGAATCAGGACTGAATGTTTCAGAAATAGCTTCTTTGACTCCTAACAGTCTGCAAACCTCAAGTTTAGGTGGGGGTTCAGGTTTTCTCTTACATGATTATCATTAGCCACAGACACACTTTCATTTTAACATACCTGGTATCTGGGGTAAGCAACCCAAATGAGGGTGTGGATCATGTTGATAAGAGTTTGACTTATCAAATTTACTTTTTACCTCCAAACCTTCATATTCTCTCAAGGCACTAATACCCTTACCTCTCCCAATAAAAGAGCACAAGCTACCTATGGTGTTCAAACTGTTTTCCTCACATATGCCATGGGGTAAGTGCCCGCAAACATCAATAACAGCCGTGCTGATCAGCTCTGGCAAGCGGCAGCCGCTGGCACCCACTGATAAGCGGTGACTGTTGTTTGCAAGCTTTGGCTCCCTACGCTTCCTGCACTACCAGCACCCAGCCAACCCTCCGCAGACACTCCACAGTCGTCTGGAGCTTCTCTGGACACATCCCAGAGGAGAGGGGCAGGAGCACAAACTGGAAGCACATGCTTCAGAGCTGCTTGGATGCCAGCGTGAGCCGCCTGGATCTCTCGCGGCTGAACAGCTTCTGCCATGGAGCTGCCACGCTGGGCCCTTCATGAGCATGACTGCAGGTTTGCAGACTGACGTTAGCAAAGGGATTTTGTCAGCAGAGTGCAGTAAGCCAAATACCATTTTCTGTGGGATGCACATGATGCAAGAGGTGTAATGATAGAGGCCCATCCTGAAGAATATCCAGCTGTTAGACAAATGAGTGAGTAATGAGCTGTGAGTTCAGCAATACCTGCTTTACAAGTTGTATTCTGCCTTTCTGCATTAGTGGACTCAGGTAATGCTGCAAAACTCTAAATTGCATTGCCAGTCATACTGTCGCTGCTTACAAAATATACAAAATTCCTAGTTTTTTCCACATTTTCACACTTTACATACAATTGCCTTGAGATTCCAATAATTGACCTTGATATGGCACTTGCTAGGAAGGTGTATGGACTGGAAATCAAAATGTTTCTTAATTAATTTATTAGTTTTTCATTGTGCCTTCATTCTTCAGACCAGGCAACCAGGAATTGTCCATACAATGGTTCCAGCACTGCAAAAGCAAAGCCCCTTAGAACAGCTCGTCTCCATCCTTCAGTCAAATCCCAGCAGTAACTGACTTGCAGATCTCCACTTCTGCACTAACATTTTGCCATTTGGTGAGTCTGAGATTGAAGAAACAACTGCCTTTTTTTTTTCTGTATTTGTAGATTTCTCTGTTGTTCAGTGCCATTGCTAAACCAGGGGGTTTGGGTGTCCTTTTGTCTTTCCTTGTTCATGCCAATCAAAGAAAACCTCGACCAGAAGACTTCCAGGCCAACAGGGTCTGGAAATGGAACGTAAATCTATGGTTGGCTCTTGCCTGTGCTGTAAAGTGGGTAAGAAAGACAAACAACAAACAACTCTCACTGAAACAACCCTGCTTTCTGCAAGCTGAAAAGAAGCAAACTTCTCCCAAACACTGCGTTCCTCCACATCCACTGATGGTAATTAAGTCTGGTACATTTTATAGCTCAGGATGATGAAGTGAAACTGAGTTTAGCTATGAAAAAACCTCCGAAAAGTTGCAAGATCTGTTTGACAACCACCATCTGAGAATGCTTCTTCTTTCACTTGCCCAGCTGAATAGCAACAGCTGGTACTAGATAAATCTTTAGGATTCTTACTTGCCTAAACAGCGTTTACCAAATGAAAATCATCTGGAAAATGTGGAAGCATGCCTTCTTTGTATGCTTTTTCTTCTGTGTGAGAATTTACAAAATGTCCCCAGAAAAAGAACAGGAACAATTGTCAAACAATGATTGATTAAAAAAAAAATCAGGAATTTAGAGCAATTAATTCTTACACGGACATGATATAAAAGCCAAGTAATAAAGGACATTTTATTCCAGTCATTCTTAAATGTCTAAGCAAGAAAAGTAAAGCACTCAGTTGTTTACCACTCAGAGCATATGACAAAGTTGTGCATTGTCACATGAATTCATGGAGTGTGTTAATACAGAGGAAATGAGCTGTTGGACATTTCATTTCTTCTGGTTTTGTACATTTATAATTCTCCGAATTGGTGTCTGTATTACTTATTTAGAAAACCAAGAATAAATACATTTTTATAAGATTAAATTAACACTATTTTTTTCCAAGTATGTATTTGCCAGAAAATATGCTGCACCATTATAACCCTTGTATTTGCTGTTAAGCTAAATAACGTCTTACTGCTATCCAGCTGTTACCATAGTGCCCAACACAGGCATTTTCTTTAATGTAGTTGGGACAAAACATCCAGATTGCTTTTTTATTCAGGCAGGAAGCACAGTCGGTGACTCAAGACTGCAGCGTGACATACTGTGCCTTTGCAGTCATTCTCATTTTTCCTTCTTTTCAAATTTTTATTTTATCACAATATTAAAAAAGGGAAATGTCAACCTCTAGAAACAACAGAAGGAAACAAAAAGCCATTCTAGCTTTTAACAAGGGTCTCTGACTCATTTATGGGAATCTTAGGATGCCCACAACACTTCTTCTAGCACACAAATGTCTCATGAAAAGATGGAAAATAAATCTATACAGGCTTAAAATACACATCTTACTTTTTAACCTAGGAATTCCCCACAATTCACATATCACCAGGTAGTACTAAGAAAGATGTCTACCACATAAGCAAGGATAAGATAAAATTAAAGACGATTTTATAGACGAGGAGTGAAGACAACTCTGTCAATGATATATTAATCTGAAGAGGAATTGTTACATACTTATTTTCAAAATATTTTGCTTTGCCTATAATAACTTATTAAAATATATGAGTGTCTATGTTTTAGAGGTTATGTATCATGCATCTTTATTAAGTACAGCATATTTTATATAAATCCTCTCACAAAATGCTTTCTATAGTGCTATAGAAATATTGTGGAATCAGACTCTTCTCAGAGCAGACACAGGTTGCAGCAAGGAAAATTCTGGTTTGACTGAAGGAAAAAACACTTCAGTGCTCAAACACTGGGACAGTGAAATCACCTCCTTGAAAGTATTCACAAGTGTGAGAGAAGGTGCTGAGCAACCTGGCTGAACTTTTTAGGTCCTGCTTCAAGCAGGGCTTTGGACCAAGTGGCCACCCGAAGTCCCTTCCAGCCTAGAAGTATTCTGCGATTCTGTGGCTGTAAAAGCCACAAAAATGTAAATGTCTGATAAAATATATATCTTTATACATAATAGCTAATAGGAAATGTGTAATAGCTAAAATATCTGCAAGAGAATTTCTAAAATATATCTAAAATACATTTGAGCCAAGTGCTAAATAGCTACATTTAGATCCTTTATAAAGATCTATATCTGTTTTTTTTCCCCTTCGTATCTATTTTAAACTGTGTCACTAAAGTTAATGGAAAAGTAGCAAGAAAATTGAGCCTAGAACAAGTATATCTCTACAACTCAAGTATATTTCATCCATAGTTATATTTTTATATATGCTTTTCATTCCTTTTTTTTTTATGCTGCAGTTCTAAATATGAAATTGGAATTATATAGTCTTTCATTTGATGACAAATTCTGAGGAAAGATTTCACTTCATGTGGACTTATAAGAAAACTCTTTCACTATCTATGCTCATTTAGTATTCTTAATTATTTTTATTTAAAACCTGAAAAGAATAATCTGGAACAGAGACTTGCAATGTGTTGAAAACTGTAAATTATTCTGAGCTACAAATTTATATTTACATATAAAAAAAGGTAATATATTAGGATATGACTTTTGAAACCTTTATATAAGAGGAAACTTGACTCATGTGTAGTCTGTGCAAGTCTCAGCAGGTAAAATCACTCACCAGCGTAAATGTTCCCAAGAATAGGCTCTAAATGGATTGTAAATAACTTACAAAGTATCTACCACACAAAAGAATTGCAGCATATCAGCTAATGCATTTCATTTACTGTAAAAGTTGTACTATTTACCACAATTTCACTGTACCATTTAGTTACTATAAATGAAATGTACAGACAATATAGAAAATGTAGTAGTGCTGACTTGGTAAAATTGTTTGACAATAATTGACAATAATCCCAGGCCTAATTATTTGATAATTATTTAAGTATTTAATAAGCTATTTAATTAATAACCCAACCCCTACAATAAGAAAATACTCTTTTACTGAGTCACTGCTGAATGGTAAAATCTACAACACTTACAGGTTTTCTAAAATTCCTTTCAGTGACATTCCATTTGTGAAGCTTTAGAAACCATGAAACCACTTAAAACTCTCATCCTTTAAAAGCTGTATCATACTTTAATGATATTTTAAGTGTGCTTATTCTATGATTCAGACATCCAAATATATTTGTAGGCTCGAAGTTGCAGCCAGTGCCTGTGAGAGAAATGTACAGAAACCGGGTAGTTCTGAGAGACTCACTGAAAGCCACGGAGCCAGGCATCCAACCTACTCTTGAAAAATCTTATTACGGTCCCAACTGCATCTTAAACAGCTTTGAAATTCTGTTCTCGTATCATTAATTCCTGTGGTTGATAACCAAAATGTGAACATTACAGAATACCACTTCTTTATTAGGGCTACACAGCACTCTACTGCTGTCACAGACTCAAACCACAGGCATTTGCTATAAAAATCCATGGAGTTTGAAATAGTAAAAATTGGCATTGCACTGTATTGACATGGTATGAAGTCAACATTTAAAAAAAACCTATAGGGTCTTTAAAAAGAAGTCCATGGCTCTGGCAAAGACAGAAGGAAGACAGTATTTTTAGTGAAACTGCTCTTGATGATGGTTGAGAGATCTAAGCATTTATTTGCAGAAGCAGTCAGTATTTTGCAAGAAGGTGCAACACTGAACATGTGTCTCTTTTCTACAACTGAGTAACTTAGCCACTTGAAACCCAAATTCAATTAAGTAAGCCCATATTTCAGTTTACAATACTTAAAGGTTGTTAGGTTGTTTGACAATTGTTAGGTTGTTCCATTCATGAATTACAAAATCCAAGTAAAAGATTGGAGTTTAATTTATAGTTATGACTGCGGTCATGTTGTTTCCATTAGCATGTGAAGGTACACGCATCCATGTGTTATAATGAAAAGTTGCTACATTGACCTGAAATGACTTTTCCTACACTTAGATCTCATAAGCAGTGACCTTTATATGGAAGTTATTATCTTCTAGCAAGAAACAGCAAGCAGGAATACATGCTTCTCATAGATTTGATAGCTATTATTATTAGGCTATGCTCAATTAGATTTTCAAATTGTTTCTGTCACATATATTTCTACATTGCATGTAATCATTCCCTTTATCTTTAGCCCATTCCAGTCTGTACCCAATATACTTCACAACAGAAGTGGTTTAGTTTCCTTTAATAAACTTGGGATCTATCCTTTTGGGCCTGCTACGACTTGATGCCTTTATTCTTCTGTATTTCTCCATCATCCTCATCATGAAGGCAAAATTTCATATGCTCGCATTCAGACCTTGCATAGCTCTGCACCTACATAAGTCTTTGTTCCCAATTCCTTTTGCTAGCTTTTTGTTTTCTGTTTATGCGTCTCTAAGGCTTATATTTTAAATACACCAATTGCACTCTCTTGTAATACCTTCTCATGCTATTCCTCAGGCTTGCCATTCTGTGCCTCTTATCATTCACATGTCTGTTTTAAATATATTGATTTCATAAAACTTTTAAAAATGACCCATCATAAATATATTAGGCACTTTTAATCCGAGCTTATTTTTTATCACGCTGCATAACATATGCCTGAAATGTAGTTTGTGTCTAATTTAAAATCCAAGTACTTGAGGCAGAGAATGTGCCTGCTTCTTTATTACTTGCGCTACCGCAGAGCTTGGGGGCTGTAACGGGTCCCTTTGGAGTAGGTGGTGCACACACACATCAAGAACAGCAGCATTCTCTGTAGTATACAGCTTGCACAAGGACTGGCTGTGAGTAGTAATTAAAACAGCACTCTTTTCTCACTCAGTCAGCAGTTACATGGATCTGCTGAGATTCTACAGACTTTCTGAACAGGGCTATTTTCAAAGCAAAGTAACAGTTTTTCATAAAGTGCTTGCAAGCTGGATGCTTCTGTCAAACGTGGGGCATATAGCGTCCGGCAGAGAAACCACAGCAGTGCTAGCACTGAAACAAGCAGAAGCGCACTCAGGCCTCATTCTTTTCTTTTTTTTAATTTCAAATTCTCAATTTTCTTCAGTTTCATCATATTTGTGAAATGATTTACACTTCGATAAAGGAGGAAGCATGTACAAGACTGAGAAGGCAAATGAAATGATGACTTCTTGACAGGCAAGAGGAATTTTTGGAAAGACTGAAAACATGCTGCCTGACCAAATGAAGTATTTCTTAACTCATATATCCTGATTAGCAACTGAAGGAAATTAAGAACAGCTTGGAGAGACTTAGGGAGATGAGTAACTTGTAATAAGATGGGCACGTGTATTAGGGATGACAATCAGAAGACATCCTTGTTTGTCATAAGTGTTTATATCTGTAATCAAAAGCATGTACCGTCTGCAAAAAGATGAAGTTTCAAACATAGCACAATGTATCACTGATACCCTGAATTTCTACTGGAGGCTGTAATAGAATAAATAAAGTGATATAATCAATTAAAGGAATGTGTGCTTACAGGTTTAGGGTTCAATACTGTATCTTAATTCATAAAAAATTACCTCACAGAGATGTTACATTAGTGTGACCACGTTAAAAATGTCCAACAAAGGTTAACGTGTAATTACATTTTAAATTCTTCATTATAATTTTTACGTAAACCCTTTTTTTACAACTCCTATTAGGAGAATTTACTGGATTTACCAAAGTTACTAAATTAATGAATTTAATAAATAACATAATTTATTAAAATAATACTAACTTGTCAGAGGATAAGGAAAAATATTTTAATTTTCAAAATATTACCTAAATTGCAATTGAGAAACTAATTTGATAACTTATTGGTAAAAAGGCTGTGATAAAAGATGAAGAAAATCTGCTTTTTATTTTGAAAGCTAAAAACTCTCCATCTTGCAACATGGCTCACAAGGGATCTGGGGCAGTTCGTCAACATAGACAGGAATACCTGGATTTTTAACTACTAGGGTTGT